ATCTGCAAAGTGACCAATCATGGCATGATATTCAATTTGTGTGATCGACCAATCACGAGAAAGTTATCCTATATCATTAGCGGTCATACGACATGTCGTGCAAATCAAACTTTAATATGGAGTCAAATGATCGACGCACCTAATCTTTATATGAAAATTTTGCTTTCTGGGTTTATTTAATAATAAAAAATTTGTTGGTTTAATTTATGGGTATCGTTTGCAAATTCCTAGCATTCGAAGGTTCTTCTCACGAAATTTCAAGAGTGGTTTAAAATAAAATGAAAATAATCTTGATATTGATATATGTTGTTTAACCAAACATCATTACCTATTTTGGGGACATTTTATCGTTTTAATTAAAATTAGGTTAGTCGAGTGTTGATATAAGAAAAGATGTAGAGGTGAAATTGCCTTCCCGACATTTTTAATTAGTACCCCAAGATAGGTTTAGACTGCCGTTTTTCGTCTTTTTGCGTTTTCTTTATTTTTTGACTTTTTCGGGCTGGCTTTAGACGACCCCCTATTATTTTGGTTAAACAACATATACTTATAAACAAATAGCAAAAATCATAAAAATCGTAAAAAAAAATAGGCTAATTTCACGATCAAGATTATTTTCCATTTTATTTTATACCACCCTTGAAATTTCGTGAGAAGAGCCCTCGAATGCTAGGGAATTTGCAAACGATACCCATAAATTAAACCAACAAATTTTTTATTATTAAATAAGCCCAGAAAGAAAAATTTCCTAAATTTTACATATAAAAATTAGGTGCGTCTATCATTTGACTCCATATTAAAAATTTTACACACGTGATCTGCACAACATCTCGTATGACTGTTAGTATAACCAGCGATGAGTTAAATTCAACCAAATTAAAAATACGTAGCACTAAATTTAAACTTAACAACGAAATTAAATATGTTAACGTTGAATAATGTTCAAGGCATATATAAAAAATTTTTTGGCAATATGCCATCTGAGGATGAAAGGGCCCTATTATTTAATAAATGTAAAGGGGGATTTAGATTCAATGGTGATGAATTTAAAGAAGCTGATTCTAATGCATTTGAGGTTGATCGTAATGACTGTAAAATTAAATTAATAGACCATACTTATACAACCGTAATAGAATGTAGAAATGAATTGGAGATTTTTTGCAGCACAAATTTAATATTAGACGGAAAGTTTAAAGCTGGCTTGTCTTGGCTTTCTATTTTTCTAGGGGTATCACATAAAACCGTTGAACAAAAACTTGTGAGTCTCGAAACAACTGTTAAATACTCATGTAAGAGGTCGAAAAGGGCAGAAGTCACAATTCCTAAACCAAATATTAAGCCAACTGATGCATTTATTAGAGATGTAAGAACCGCATTAAGTAAGGGTACAAATGATGATAAATTAAATGCACTTCTGGAATTAACAACAATATATGGTAGCTTTTATGCACGTCACCTTGTTTTGGGTAAAGCTGAAATCAATGAAATAACTTTTGAGAATAGTTCAAGTAAGTATATCATCACTTACCGATAAATCAGAGAGTTATTATTTAAAAGCAACTGTTATTACCATCAGGTGAAAATTTAAACGTAAATGCAACTGAAGTTACAAGTGGAATTGAATCTAGTTCGCATGTTAATGGAAGTTTAAGTGATACTTTTAGAACTGAAAATAATATTAGGAACCATCGTGGTAATAAATTTTCGAAAAGTAAAAGTCTAGTTATTGGCAATGATAGTTTAGAAGATTACGCTAAATGGGATATAATTGCATATGATGAAATTCATCTGATTTTTGATCTTTTGGATAATGACTATCCCGACTTACGGAAAGAAATTTTAGATATTTTGGGCCAACGGATATTATCAGCAGGCGTTAGTGACATCATTGAATATGATTTTACAACACCATTTACGTATCCATTGGAAACAAGACTAACAAAAATAGAAGACATCTACAAATGTCACATTTTTGCATCAATCATGAATGAGATCGACAGAACTGCATTATCTTTGCGTGTTGAATATGAAGACGAATATACCCCCATAATCATTGTTCATCTAATCCAACATAAAAAAGATAGAAAGAATTTTTCACTAAGACGAAAAAAATCTACATTTTCATTTAGACTTAGTTGGATTATTGTTGGCCAACCAAAGAATTTCGATTTTGATTTTACAGAGTCTCCTTATCCAGTAATTCTTAGAAGTTATGAACTCTCAAATTTTAAAATTGAAAATAATCGTATACGAATTCCCTTTGATCAAATTCCAAAACTTCATGAACAAAAACTTAAAGAAACTTGTATATTAAGCACTTGTGTATTAAAATTACCTTCAGTAAATGAAAATTCAAGGCAAATAATTATTGGATCACATGTTTCACTCTCTATTCGTTCTGTTTGTTTGTTTGATAATGGTGAAATGAATTTAGATGAAAATATTTTGCGAAATTTATCTTTATATTTTTGGTAAGAAAAGTTATTTATTTAAATTTAGCCCCAAATATTTTCAAATAACGATACTAATTATTTTTTTAACAGCACTGTTGATGTAAACAATTCTCACAAAACTTTCGAATTTGGCCAAACAGATGTTAAATGGCGTCAGAGTAATCAACAACCAAATATGTTTTATGGATGTGAGGATCCGTGTGATAAGAATATTTTTCCCGGAAATGTAAAAAATTTTTTATCCTCCTTTTTGACGAGCTCCTACGAACAAGAAAATCAAATAATATTGGTGAACAAACTTAATGATTGTTCTACAAATTGCGACCATGGTTCAATTAATGTAAATCTTAATGAAGTCATTTTTGGGTCATTCAAACCAGAATGCAAGAAGTGCAACATTGTAAAAATTGGATATATGAAAGTTAACAGAATTGTTGGTACTTCAAAAAAAGTTGAACTATTGGCAGATGAATCGAACTTTGATAATAATTTAGAAGATAGAAATGAAGTAGCAGTTACGTAAGTATAAATTTTTATTAAAACTTTTTTTTTGAATATTTAGATGTGATAAGAGGGTGACACTAAAGGATCTGTCAAGTATTAATTGACATCCTTGGAAAGTAAGCGAAATCTCAGGTCAACATGTGTATATGCAGCCAACAAAAATTGACTAGTAAGAGGTGGAGAGCTTGGCTCCAATCTTTGTTTTTTTTGAGATGGTTGACTTGACTTAATATATTTAACTCTTGATTCGCTTAAATGCCTCAGATTAAGTTTAGAATAACATGTTTATTAGATTCCTTGTAAGCTATTTAAACTGGAATTTAGAAATCATATGAAATATTCATGAATATATCGTTAAATTGATTGTAAAGATTCCGGTCAACCGTTTCGGAAAAATATTATTAGCAATACATCGAAATTTTTTTTTTGGAATTGTTATGTATTGCAAATTACAACAATTATTCGTTAAATAATGCCATACTTATTATCGTTCAAAAACGTAACAAATATAACAATTATTTTGATGCGTCATTGTAAATGTTTAATATTACAAAAATCAACCATTTCAGAATTTTGTCACGCATATTCAATATACGAAATGTTTTTATTTCGATGGCTGTACTATTTTTCTTGGTATGTTCATATATCTTCCTTTTTTTTTGAAAATTTATTTACTAAAATCTCCGTTTTATCGACCTTGTTAATTAGAGAATTTTGGATCAATATAAGGTTTGATTTCCGAACATATTTTAATAAATAATTTTTAAGCCGATTTATGCTATAATTAAAATTTGAGTTTGAAAAAGTCGAAAAGATTTTAGAAAGTTTAAAAAGTTTTCCGACAAGTTATAATTGCTGTTACAGTTTATTGATCAAGTTAATTCTAAATCAATATATTTTTAGTAGAAGTTGGATTTTCTTATCACCTCTTTTCTTTTGTGACTTATATTGGTTTCAATGTTACAATATATAATGTTGAAAATGCTGTTATTTATTTCAAAAATACTGTAATTATATAAATAGAAATTAAAAAAAAAAACCAACTAGGTGTAGCCCGTCGCTTCGCTTCCGGTTTTAGTTTATATCATTAGTTCAAAAACTCTGGTTTAGTAATTAACGGGATATATTTATAAAAAATAAAGTTACAATATGGGATATATAAAGTAAACTTCGTGGGCAATAATCAGCGCTAATAATGGGTGACGTAATTATTTTTGCAATGACGAAATGGTTTCGTGAATGGTTTCGTCTGACGAAAATTATCACGATTGACGAAATTGCTGGCGATTGTCGAAATTACTGAAATTAATTTGACAAATAAAATTTATTCTAAATTTAAAATTTTTCAAAATTTAGTTATTTGAGTGCGTGAGAGTAAAAACCAGGAAACCGATTTAATGCCATAGAAAGACTTTCGTATGATTGGCTGTTTAAATCCATTTAATTTTACATTATTTATACAGTTTAAAGTACTTTTTTAAAAAAAACAAACTACGAAGAATAAAAGAAGTATATAGAAGGTTTTATTAGGGTTGTAGGACTCCAGTATAAAAATAATCAAAATCATTTCTGGTTTTAGAGAAGTTAGCATAATAGCGACTTCTTAAAGATAGATAGAATTAGGTTATTACCATGCTAACTTCTCTAAAACCAGAAATGATTTTGATTATTTTTAATACTGGAGTCCTATAACCATAATAAAACTTTCTATGTACTTCTTTTTTGTTTATTCTTCGTAGTTTGATTTTTTTTTAAAAAGTACTGTATAAATAATGTAAAATTAAATTAATTTAAACAGCCAATCATACGAAAGTATTCCTATGGGATTTAATGATTTACTATGATCGGTTTCAAGGTTTTCACTCACACGCACTCATTTCATAAATTTCGTCGTTACATAACAATGTTTTGACAACGAACTTTTTTCTATCAAGTAGTCAGTCGTTATAAGAAAGATAAATTTTAATATCACAAAAATTAATGGATTTATATAAAAATTAATCTTACATTAGATTGAATTTGAAGATAATGAATTTTTTATTATCAATAGTTTTTTTCGCCTCACCTATTAGATACATCCAGGCGATTAATGTAGACACTAGGTAATGTGGGTATGCCAAAAGGTTTATCGTTAGTTATCATTATATATTGTCGTTTTGCGGGTATTAACTTTTCAATGAATTTTTTTAAAAAAATCTCAATTTTTATTTTTCTTACGTTTATTACATCAAATAGCATGACAGAAGTTGGATTTATACATGAATATTACACAAGATTTTACATATCAAAAGCATAAAAATAGAGATTATTATATGATGACATATTAAAAAAATTGTCCAACTTGTGTGAAACTTTGCAGAGTTATTTTTCATTTGCAGTTTAAGTGGTTCGCTAAAAAAATTTCATGCACCTCACGGTCTACACAACTTTTATATGACACAAATAGGAGCATATAAAGATATACAGTATACGAACGTATTGAGTATAAATTTACATTTATAGTTACTAAATGGATAATATCAATAAATATTTCGTATTGTTTTTTTTTAAAAAAAAAAGTCTTTTTATACTTATAAAACTTCTATTTTATATATATATATATTTAGGTTACTCATAATAATTATAAGAAGTACATATATTAAAAAGTTTTACTTTATTTCATAGTTTGTAAATATAAATATATAAATATAATTTAATATAAAAATAGAATAATAAAAATATTTAATGCAATAAAGATATGGCAAATAATAATTTAATAAATAAAGCAAATATAAAAAGAAAAAACATAGCAAAATTTTTTATTATACTATAAAATTTGTACTTTTCAATTGCAAATTGCTTTTTAAAAAATTTTTATTGAGTTTGATTAAGCACATATATACATATATATATATGTACTATACATGCCGACGAAATTATTTTGGGTTTCAGGATACAAAATTAAAATTTGAAGATGAAATTGTTTTTGATCTATTTTATTTAAAAGACAAATTTTTTGACACTTTTTTGAAGAGGCTAAATTATAAGGAACATAACTACCTAAATTAGATTTGCTCTTGCATATAAAAAATTTTAAATTGCTCTAATAAAGACGAAATAGGGTTTTTTTGAAAACCTATTTCGGTGGCATGTATAATAAGTACTTGTCAAGTTAATATCTTAAAAAATAAGATAGCTACACAATATTGTTATACAAAGCCAGAAATAGAATATGTATGAAGTATTGTATTTAATAAATATATAAATTGCAAAGATAGTAAATGACCTTCAAATAATATTCAAATAACCTCAATAACCTTAATTTTATTATGAATTTTGGTTCAAAATAACCTAGGTCATTTGAAAAAAAGACAAATAATCTCTAATTTTACTATTTCTGATAGATTGTACTATTGTGGTATGTGATATATAGTTTATTATTCAATAAAACAAACATATGTCTAGTCATATAAATTTGCAATATTGCAATTTTTTTATTATTATAAGTAGCTATATAATATAGTTGTGTAAAATCAGGAATAGAAAATATTTGGAATCTAAAATTTAGAAAGCAAGCTTTAAAAATCAAGTTGCATCAAGCAATCATAGCCAAAACTCTGATCTATTGAATAAATTATTTTTATTATAAGAATTTTTTATTTATACAACTTAAATTTGAATGCAAATAGCTTTCATGCTCACTAATTAAGTAAACTAACTAGTAAATGTTTATAGATTTAGTAGTTTATTAAATTCTTAGATATAAATATTTTTATATCATATACTCAATTAATACAAATAAATAGAATTAAATAATAGATACACATGAAATTTAATTGCTTATTTTAAATACTTATATACAAAGCTCTTCATATATAAATAAAATAGCATTAAATAATAAATATTAATTTTAATAGCTAATTTTAAATGCTGAATTAATAAATATTCTTTATATATATTAAATTAACACAATTAAATAAAATCAAATAGTAAATGCTTATAAATTTAATAAATATTTTAAGTGTTTCTTAAATTAATAGAAGTTTTTATATTTACTACTAAATGATAGCAATATCAATAGCAATAATTATATTTAAAATATTATAAAAATTAGTATAATAAGTAGCACAAAGCATTACCCATCTTATTCAAATTTGTTTTTTTACTCTAGTTTAAAAAAACAAATATAGAATATGTGATGTTTAAAGTAATTTATAACTTATTATCACTAAAAAAAATTTTATTTAAATATTTTTTTTTTATCTCTTTAATTTCTATAAATCTTCGTGATTCTGCAACTTAATGTAGTAGACCAAAATTCTGTTATTTGAAGATATAAATTTCATAAATATGCAATATTTATAGATAAAATATGAAATATAAAACATAGATTAATTTTTTATAGAGTATACAAAATATAGTCAAACCCCTCTATAATCATACCTTCAGAATATAAAAAACTGTGATTGTAAAAAGATGTGACTAATATAGAGGTATTTTCTATATATAGTTGATACTGTCTAAATGCATATTATCTAAATGCATATACTGCTTAACTTCATATTATTTTTATTTTCCAATTTTGTTATTAGTCATAAATGTATAAATCTCTATTTGCATTATGCATAAAAAAATTTATAGATAATTAAGGATAATTGCATAATATATAATATATATTTTAAGTAAAATATAGTATACAGTATGTTGTAGTATTGCTAAATAAACTATAATATCCCAGGTATTTTACTCAATATACCAAAAGTAATATTTACTTATCTAAATATTCTCTTGTATATTGTCTTTTAAATTCAACTTTAACTTTAATAAATCTTTTCAAGACTCAATTCGATAGCTAAATTGACTTGTAACTTCAATTTGGCTTATTAAGACTCGAATTCTAGTATACCTGTAAAATCAAATATTGTCACTTAGATTAGTGACTTGTGTAAATCATAAACACATCAAATTATTATTGCCCTCAAGATTATCTTTAGCAGCATCAGACTCCCTTCACTTCTCTAAGTTTATATTTATCTTTCT